AGTGTTAGTGTGGCAGGAGGAGAGGCCCTCAGGTGGGCAGGACCAGACTACAGGGCACGTGTGTGTGTGTGTGTGTGTGTGTGTGTGTGTGTGCATGCTGTGTGGGCATCTGAGGACAGGCGTTGGCCGTGAGGTGGATGTTGGAATTGGGACTCTTAGGGAGGAAGACGCAGTGGGCTAGGCCTCCCTTGTTTTCCCGAGTGGTCACTGAGGGGCGCAGTGACAGTGCCGGGCCAGGCAAGGCAGGGAGCTCTGGATACCCAAGCTGGTGCAGGACCTAGGCTCCCTGGCTCTTCACAGATCACTGTTCTGCAGGAGGAGCGTAGTGACATGAAAGGCAAACCCAAGGAACCGAGAAGCCAAGAGGCCCATCTTGCCTTGAACTGACTGAGGAAAAAAAAAACTTTTTTGGTACTGGAGATTGAACCTAAGGCCTTTGCACTGAGCCACATCCACAGCCCTTTAGCTTTTATTTTGAGACCAGATCTCACTAAATTCACTAAGGTGCCCATTTGGGCTTGTAGTTCTCCTGCCTCAGCCTCTCACATCGCTGGGCCTACAGGCATGTGCCATAACGACTACGAAGGTTTTTTCTAAATCACTGCTCAGTTGGGTGGGTGCTTGCCACTGCTCAGAGCACGTGAGTGTCTCCTGGGCGGTGAGACAGTTGCGGGGTCTGCGGTGGGGAGGCACAGGCCTGGCTCGGAGTGAGGCCTCCCTGTTTGCAATGGGCAGAAGCTGGCTCCTAAGATGCCACAGTCTGCAGCAGCCTCTGCCCAGGCCAGGCAGGCATCGGCACAGGGGCTCTGCGGCTCCTGCTGGCCCTGCCAGAGCAATGGGGAAGGCACAGCTTTCTCCCAGCCATACTGCAAGGACACAGCTATTTCCCTTTGGCTCTGATCGGCGCCCCCCCAACTTTTGGCCTAATCTGAATACTGAAAATAATTTGTAATTAATATATCTTCGGCAAACACATTGTTTTCTTATAAATTTTGCAGTCTTCAAATGAAGATACAACCCCAAGGCGCATTTTCTTTGGGAAATATCTAGCACTGCCGGGGAAAAAGGCAGCCTCAGTATGTCCTTAAGTAAGAGGTGCAGCCACAAAAGCACCAAGCTGGAGTGAAAAACAGATTTGGAGATGATGATTGTGTTCTGGGAACGAATCACTACTTGTCTGAACTATGGGGAGGTCGAGGGTATTTTTAATTTAATGGATTAATCATTTATGTCTGAAGTTCCTGCTCCTCCTAGGAAAGCAGTGTGGGAGTTTGCACAAAGTTATAAATCATGTCAGGGTTTGGACCTGATCTTGGGGAGGCCTGGGCTATGGGCAAGTTATACTAATAATGTGAGAGCAGCAGCAGCCTCCTGAAAGAGTTCGCTTTGGGAAACTATGTCAGGGAAGACTCACGGAGGAGAAGCTCCCAGAGGGTGGTGACCCCGACTTTGCAAGGGATCCAACTGGATCTTGCCAGCTCTGCCCATTGGTGTCCATCATCCACAGCTCAATATGGCTTGAGATAAAGCCCCAAATACCTGGACCACCCCACCTTGGATTTGGTGTCTCACGCCAGGCATTTCCCAAGTATTTTAGGTGTATCACGGGTCATCAGGCCCATATGGCAAGAGACTGTTATTGCCATTTTATAGGTGCAATTGTGTACTTGTTTAAGACTTTTTCTCAAGAAAGCAGCAGCCTGGCACTAGACCTGAATGGCTCAGGCTTCGTGTCTTCAGCCTCTGTTAGCCATGCTGCTGGCTCAGGTCTGCTCTGTGTCTCGGGGGAAACAACTCGGCCCCTGCTCCTGCCCACGCAGCTGGCCTGGCTCCTCTCTTTTCCTTATCCTCCCATTCCAGTCTTCCTTCTGATTAAGGAGAAGAGCCGGAGGAAGGGGACACAGCAATGCTGTCTGCATAGCTGCGGAGTCATGGCTTCAGCTCGGCCTCAACTCAGCAAGCTGGACAATCTTCTGGGTCGCAGGAAGCCAAACCCGACCTCCAAGAGCACAGTGGGGCAACCGGACTGAATTTCACCTGAGCTGCTCAAGGACATCCTCCATGTTCAGCACCCCCACCCCCAGCTCCCCCGGCCTGAAGGCTTCCTTCTCTGGCACTAGGCTGTGGCCCTTGGTTCTTGCAAAGCGGGGGCAGCATGGGGAGGGCTGCACTGAGGGTCTTGGCGTATCTGCAGATTGCACTTTGCCTTGTTAGTGGACCTGAGCCACCCAGAGTAAACCATGTGCAGTTATTTTGCAAACAAACATTCACAGCATCGTCAGCCCCTGGTCACCAGTTGTCCCTGGACCGGCCCTGTGGGAAGAGTTGCAGACCCTGCCTGCTGGCTGCACGGTAGACTCGTCCCTGAATCCTAGGCTGGCTGGCTCACCAGGGTGTCATAACTAGGAGTCCTTGAGTTATGTCTGGCAGATCCCAGATTCTTCATCAAAGGCCAACAAGCACAGCCACAAAACCTGAAGGCTTAAATGTGGCTCAGCTCAGAGGAATACTAATAAGATGTGGCTTGGGGATATGCAAGTATAAAATGCAGAGGTAAGCTGAGCACCTCGTTACCCTGAATCCCAGAGTCACAGAAGGGCACGGGGAATCATGTAATAATTCCCAACACCTTGCTTGTGTTATTGCGGGGTCAGCAGCCCTGGTGCAGAGGATTTCGGCTGGCTTGTGCTTCTACATCGCGCCCTGGTGCATGTGCACTCTGCTCAGGCCTGTGGGGTGACAGGAGGGAAGGGTTTGGCTGGACAGGGCTAACTCCCCTGGGTGCTGATCTTCTATAGAACCGTGGGGAGACAAGGCTCATTCTGATGGCTGGAGTGGCCAAGCTGAGACCGTGGCAGCTCCCACCCTATGTAGGGGTTTGCTGGGGCCTCAGCATCTTAGCCCGACCTGTCTGCATCCCTCAGCTCCCTTGCTCTTGGGTTCATCATCCCAGGAGGCTTTGTGTAAAGTCTGACATGACAACCAGTCAACAGGCCCTTCCCAGCCACTTGTGAGAGAGGGGATATTTTTGCGTTAGACATTTCTTTAGGGTGACAGAACACAGGAAGGGGAGGGTTGCTCTGAGCAGCACTGGGGGATCTCGCGGAGACAACATGCACGGAGCCATTTACTAACCATTCACCTGCAGGATGTGGGTCTGGAACAGCTGCTCGTGGCCTGCGGCGTGGCAGGTGTAGTTGCCCATGTGGATGGTGGTCACCTTGGTGATGTACAGGGAGTCCTCCTCCCCGAAGTCCTGCATGGGCAAAGATGACAGTGAGATTGGCCTTTTAGTCCAGTAGGCATCTCTTGCTTTTCCAGGAAAATGGAAATCTTATGGCTACAGAGGAAAAGCACTGTGCTGGAGGGGCCCCCTGAACCCCTCAGGTTGACTGAAACCTCGCTCTCCTTACGAGAGCCCCATTCCTGCCATTCTGTGAAAACCTTGATAATGAAAAGAAGACAGCAGATGGCTGATTTGTCCTGTGTCATAACAAAGCCACAAAGGTTTATACCTGAGCTGCTTATGAAAAGTTAATGGCTAGTCAATGGGATGACATATTTCTAGTCTAAGTGGTTTCCTGTGTCAAAATCTGAGTCGGGAGAAAATACGTTTGGCGGGAGGCTGTGCAGTGGGAGGCCAGGCATCCTGAGAGGACTGTGGGGTGGGTGCGATCTCCCCCTAGATCAGAGGTGGGCTTGCAAACTAATTGATGCCCACATGTTGGGGCCCAGGGCAGACTCTGTCCTCAGGGCAGTGCCAGAGCTTCCAGCAGGGAGCCCTGGGCTGGGCTGCTGGGTTTTCCCTCAACACCGTCTTCCTGAGCCTTCTTCATATGCATGGCCTCTTGCTGGAGCCGGCCTCAGGCCCCTGGCGCCCCTGGTTGCTGGACGCATGGACCCCACTTCCTCAGGCTACCCTGAGTGTGAAGCTCCTACAGAGCATCCGAGGGTGGTACCCTGTTAGCACCCACAACAAGAGCTTAACCAGGAGCCAGAACTTGGCGTCTTATCTTCGGGTTCTGCATCTGTAGATTTAAGCAGCCACAGACTGAAAACATTCAGGGAAAAGATGTCTGAGCTAGGTGTGGTGGCGCCCGAGGTGGGTGTGTGGGTGCTCATTCGTGACCCCAGCACTCTGGGGAGGACAAAGCAGGGGCAAGTTTGATCCCAGCCTGGGCAACTTAGTGGGATCCAGCCTCAGAATAAGAAATAAAAAAGGCTGGGGATGGAGCTCAGGGTGAAGGCCCTGGGTTCAATGCCTAGTACCAAAAAAAAAAAAAAAAAAAAAAAAATTGTCGGCACAGACTTTTTTCTTGTCCCTAAGGAATGCAGCATAACAAGTGTCTCTGCCCCTTTTGCGCTGTGTCAGGTAGTGTAAGTCATCTAGAGATGCTGTGAAATACAGAGGATGCTGGAGGTTATATGCAATGCTGCACCATTTACACAGAACATCTGAGCAGCTGTGGTTTTGGCATCCCCTGGGGTCCTAACCCAGCCCTCCAGGATATCAAGGGGTGGCTGGCATCAACTCGTTTGATCCCTGAGGAAACCCCTGAAAGCCCCAGCACCCGTGGGCGAGTCAGCAGGGCTCTCCCTGAGAACACAGTCCAGTTTGATTGTTCTCAACTACACCCTCTGTGTTCACCTTGAGCACAGCCACTGCCATCCCATCCTGGGGGCTCAGAGACCCCACTGCTGCCCTCTGCAGTCTCTTCCCCCAAAAGCTCAGCACGGTCCTTTCTGAGCAGGTGCTGTTTCCTTGTGCAGCCCATCCTCAGGCCCCAGCCGCGGAGGGCCCCTGCTCGCTGCAGGTGGCGCCGAGAGGTGCCAGCTTGCGGCCCTGAGGCTGGAGCCCCTTCCTGCGGCCCTCCCTCCCCACGCCTGCCTGTCTGTCTTGCCCAGTCGCTGTCCTTCTAGGGGCGGAGTCTTCTGTGGCCCACACTCTGCCAGTTCACTGCCACTCAGTGCTGGATTTACCTTCTTTGCTGCCTGTCTCCCCGTGGCAGCAGCCGAGCCCCGTGGAGGGATGGGGGTCTTCTCGGGCTCTGTGTTCAGTGCTGTCCCCAGGGCCAGCACAGTGCCTGGCATGCAGTGGCTCTCAGTGAATATCTGTTGCATGAACAGGAAGCTCCAGTTCTTTGGTTTACAGACGGAGGTGGCCATCTTCCGCCCTCCCAGTCCCACAGTGGTTGGCCGGTCATGCGAAGTTACAATGTGGTGGCCGGTGGGAAGGCAGAAGCTTGGCCTTGAGCCTTGTCCCTGCTTCCTTGCCCTGCCTTGGAGGCTCACAGTTCTCTGCATTCCTTGGGCCAGGGCCTCTGGAGTGGACAGAAGAGACGTCTTAGCTCCGGGAGAGGGAAGAGCTGCAGACCCAGCTGATGACCATCAGTGTGCCTACAACAGAGTTCTTCGCCCTCTCCCTCTGCTTTTCCCACCTGCCAGGAGAGGGTCCTGCTGGCAGAGGTATGCGTGCTTCTTGGGTGACCGTGCGGATGGGGTGTACCAGCCCGTGAGGACAGCACGGGCTGCTGGCTGCATGATGGTTCTTATGTAGGCATGGAACACATTAGCAGCCTGTGGCGTAGGCTCTGGGGAGAACCTGACTAATAAATAAAATAATGTCTCTGGGCTAAAACAATAGGCATCATCTAATTATAGAACAAAGTGTGTATTGTTTTCTTGATATGAATATTGGCTACAGAAATCAAATTTACCTCACTGGATGTGAGAGAATGACTTTAAAAATTGATTTATAAGAAGCTACATAAAACTAAACCTGCAATTCTTCCTCTTCCAAACGTTGAGAGGTGTCTGAATACTGCTATTAATGCTTGATTGCATCTCTGTAATTGTGTTTTTATGGATAGCTTTTTTCCCCTCTGATGCATAGAAATGTATTAGGAAAATCAAGGTTCTTTCCAGAAATAAACAGATGCCAGATTAGACAAATTCTTTATATTGACGTACATCCATTCTTGGGAAAGAGACAATTTCACTTAAAGACATGGCTTTCGTCCTTTAAAATGCTGTTTGCTAAGTTTCTGCTCTTATTAAAGAAAGTAATGAAGTGAGACAGACGTTCTAAACAATAGCGGAGCTGAGACGACACGGGGGAGGCTGTCACAGTGCCACCCGAGAGTCAGGTATAAATAACGTGAAAAGGAGCCATCAGTGCCGCATTCTTCACCACCCAGCGGTAGGCACGAGCTCTCCAGAGCGACACTAGAGTTTGCTTAGCAATATTTGCAATGTTCCAAGTTAAAACTCAGAAACATTCATTCAGGTCTTTTCCACCTCTGCTCTTCCTGGGAGCTCTCTCTGGAGAGGACGGAGTACAGGGGGACCTCTCCTGCTCCAGCTCTCTCCTGTTCCCTAGAAGGCCACGCACCCCAGCATCTCTTCAGCTCCAGCAGCTGAACGCTGTGGATCCCTGCACTGAGGGATCCATGGGGCATGGAGGAGCTCCACGAGCACACGCGCACTGTCCACGCATGCACGATGAGCACACACACACGCAGGAGACGTGAGCGTGACCATGTGTGAGCCGGTTCGCACACACCAAACCTTGGCTCTCTACCGCTGACCGCCTCACCAACACTGGCCTTCCTGTGCTGTCCCCGTCTGTCCAGCCCTTTGGAGGACAGACTGGCCACTATGCAAGGACACTTGGGGCCAGTCCTCCTGGGAGGGGCTGCAGTGGCTATGTGTGTGCCTGGGTGGGCCTGTCCCGCCCCTGCCAGGCTCAGGCCGGGGGTGGGGTCAGAGGCACTGAAGAAGCCGCTGTGGGAAAAGCTCCTGGCTTCTCCAGGATTCAGGGTGTGTGGGCGCTGGCGGACTCGGTGACAGTCTGTGTGGCGTGCTTCACTTCTGTGCATTGCTGTATCATCCTCAGGGAGTCGTGTGGCTCACGCTGCACAGCCAGAGCTTGAGTGTCACTTGCTGCGCGAAGGGAGGAGCGTCGGCTAGTACGCTGGCTTTGGGGCACACACAGCAAGGAAGGACGGTGAGGCGTTAACCCCACGCAGAGGGAGGGCCGGTCTTGTGCTCAACTCCTGCGTAGGGTCTCAAGGCCTCGGGTCATCCTGGCTCCTGGGGGCTCTGTTTGCCCGGGGTCTTCAGGTCAAGCAGAATGTCCTGCCTCTGAGGGGCTGTGGACCAATGGTCCACCTTGCGAGTGGGATGTGTGGGGGCTGGGCGAGCTTTCCTGGCTGGCAACCCCTTTACATACAACCACGCCCGGGTGTTGGGAAAGCCTCGTGTTCGAGACCCTCCAGGAGAGGACACAGGAAGCTCCACATCTGGGATGCTCCTGGACTCTGCCGAGTGGCCTTTTCTTCTTGGCTGATTTTCATCCGTACTCTTTCCCCACAATAAACTGGAGCATAACAGCTTTGGGCGAGTTGGGTGAGTCTTTCCAGCAAGTTACTGAACCCGAGGGGGGCTTGGGAGTGCCGTTTTCTGACTTGCAGTTAGTGGCAGACGTCACACGGTTTTGTGTGCGCTCCTCTCTTCGGTTTCACTGCTGTCTCAAAGCTCAAACGGGGGGTTCTGGCCCAGTGGTGTAAGTGCTGACGTCCCACACATGGGGGACAAACTGCGGCACCTGGTGCACACGGGCGCCCGGGTTCCTGTGACCGAAGCCTCCCGCCTGAGACGTTCCTCTGGGCACTTGGCTTATCACAGTGGCAGAGGCCAGAGGGCGGGCACCTCCTGACTGGCCAGCGCTCCAGACTCGTGAGGCAGGGGCAGCAGCTGGTGCAGCCCACTGACAAGTACAGGCCTGCAGCCCGGAATGGGGCTTCAGATCTTTGGCTTTTGAACCTGCCTGGGAAGCCTACATCCCCTCTCCAGCAGGCGCCTGGAACACGAGTCCCCCGGAGAGAAGGCTACCAGCCCCTGGCTCTAACCTGGGCCACACTCACAGCCACGACAGCTCACTTGTCCTTGGAACACTCCGGAAAGGCCTGGTTAAATTCCCCTCTGTGGCTCATTTCTGTGACCGTGAAGACTTTCAGTTAGGTATTTCCTGCTGACTGGTGTTTAAAAGTCTCATCCGTTACTGGAGGGAGACTGGGCAGTATCCATCAGAACTGAGATGCGTCACTTCTGAGAACTCCTCACACAGATCACAGGTATGAGAAGCATGGTAGACGCAGCATGGTCGGCAGCGGACAGAGCCTAATGCAGACTGAATGTGAATGTCCTTGCATAGGCTGGGAAGGGGCACCAGACAGGGTAGGGAGAGGCCCCTTG